TGTACACGGAGAAAAAAACTTCGGGCGTGGGACCCGAAGTTTAGGTCATATGGATCTCTGAAGTTTTCAGATTGAGTATCTGAACACTTAAGGTCCAGCTGCTGAGGTTTGGATCACACATCTGAAACTTCACTTCTTACATCTGAAGTACTTCGGTTCTCACATCCGAAAAACTTCGGTTCTTACATCTGAAGTACTTCAGATGTAGGAACTGCAGTTTCAAATGTGTGATCCGAACCTCGACAGCTAGACCTAAAGTGTTCAGATGCTCAATCCGAACACTTCAGAGATCCATTAGACCTAAACTTCGGGTCCCACGCACGAGATTTTTTTCTCCGTGTATAGGAAAAGTGCGGACATGTCGGTAATTTTGATGTTAGGTGATGAAGCTCTTACAGCAGAGACGAGAGCAAAGACGTAAAGACGGAACGCTTAAAGCAAAAAATGAAGTTACTTTTCAACCACCTCTACTATTGGCTAGAGGATTGGCGGCGAAATCGGGGCAAGTTTGAAATTCAAACGTAGGGCGGGAACTGAATAAAATTGCGGAAACAAAGTATTCTAGGTTGATTTTTGTCCGAATTCACTTACCCACGTATATTTTTTTAACTTTAGGTTATTTTTGGTCCGTCGTCGACCGATTAATTTCATTAGGGAGTAACGGTCATCTAGGACTGTAACGGCCTGTTTGAACCGGCAGGACCACCATGAGCAGAAGAAAAGCTAACTTTATCTGAGATCCTTGCTGGTTGCTGAGCTAAAATAGGGGTATTATACCGAGTCACCATCCCAACTTTCTTAATATATTCGTTTTAGGCGTTTAAAACACGTTTAGAAGAAGAAATGTGGGAAAATCAAGAGGACAAATCAAATTTCCGTTTCCCGCCCATGGATTCCCGCGCTCATTTACACTCTCACACAAGCGCCCAGCGCCAAACCTGGCTTCACTTGGCCACACGGTAGCTTTTAATTTTGGGGATTCAACATTTCCTTACAGACAGTTGGATTGCATTTTGCAAAAAGGAACCAAGAGTCGCTAAGGTTGCACCTTAAGGCTGCACCAGGTTTGCTAAGTCGCACCAATGTCGCTAAGATTGTGCAACTTTTGCTACCTTGCAAACGTATACTGGTCATCTAAACAAATAGTTTCTAATGGCAAAACAGAAAGTCCAACTGATATAGGTATTTCATTTCTCTTAGTCTTGCGAGATGAAACTTGGCATTGGCGGATCCAGGAATTTTGCAACACCGGATTTCCTCCATTAAAGCCTATGGAAATGTATCGATTCTTGGAGGGACCAGGTGCTCCGACAGGAATCGATTATTTAGCATAGGTTTAAATGGAAAATCCGGTGTTGCCGAATTGCTAAATCCGCTTCTGAACTTGAGGCTTCAAAGGGGCTCGACGATAACACGAACTATAACACCTACAGATAAGGATAGAGTACCTTTGCTTATATATTAGTCCTAGTTAAAGTTATAAGTATGTTTCAACACAGTTGTGAAAAAAAACGCCGATCTTAATGATGCTGAAAATCGATTTGACAAGATGGTTCAGTCCAAAGTCATTGCAAGATCATCAAGTTTTAATGAGCGTCACGGTTCAAAAAAAAATTGGTGATATAATAATTATCAGTTGCGGAAGGTTAGGGGAAGAAGGGTGCCTGTAGATAAGAGCGATTATTAAATTTTAATCTTGTCGAAGAATTACGGATGTCAGTTGTACTGCCGTGCTAAGGAAAAACGCCGTATGAACCTTCAGGCGTTGCTAAATTTCCTTTCATAAAACGCCAATTTCCTGGTAAATTTATGAATATTTCCCTCAAAATTTTTCAGATACTATTTAGTTCGCAATTTTACCTAAGGATTCTGAAAATTTAAAAGAAAAATATTCATAACTTCCCTCAAAAATAAACAATTTATCAAAGGAAATTTGGCAACTCTCGAATGTTCATAGGTCGTTCTTCCTTAGCACGGCAGTGTAGCTGTCAAGGGCGAGTCTTGCGCGCAAGAAATTGTGATTGCAGAAAATGGAAAAGGAAGGGTACTCAGTACTCTTTCCACGCTTTAAAACGTGACGCAAAATTCGATTTTAGAATCTGGTTGCTAACTTTCGGCTGGAATGATGCCATCTCCTCTCCTATTTGTCTATTTTCTCTTCTTCCTCCTCTTCATCTTTTTCGTCTCCTCCGTCCAGCTCCATATGTACATCCCTATGTTCGACGTATGTTAGGAGTGCTCATAAGCGGATCCAAAAATTTCGAATGGAGGGGAGGGAGGATGAGGCTTCCCCTAAAATATATTCGACATTTTAAAATGCCCGATATGCAGTTTCATTTAAGATTGTCATAAATAATAACCAAACATAAGCGTCCTTTCTTCTTTTTTCTAAATTCCTTCTATCTTTCTTTCTTCCCTCTTTTCCCCGGAGGTACGCCCCCCCCCGTTGGATTCGTTTTTGGTAGGGCTTAAGTATTACTTATTACACCTAATTCTCTTTCCATACCCCTTAATGTAGATATACACTGAAAAAAGGGTAAAATTACCAAGAATTCAGGGTTCTATTTGATCCCAGTTTTTTCTTGGTAAAATTACCATTTATGGAATTGGTAATTTTACCGAGAAATCTCGGAAAAATTATTGAACTTTCTCGGTAATTTTACTGGACCTTGGTAAGAACGCCAATATTTTTTATCTGCTGTGGTAGGATTACCGAGATAAAATGGCAAAGTTACCGGGAATTGATTACCAATAAAAATGGTATTCTCACCTGAAGAAAACAGTAAAAATACCGGTTTTTAGGTAAGCTTACCAGTCTGTCTTGGTAAAATTACCAATAAATGGTAAAAAAAGTGAGATGGTAAAGGTACCAACGGACCTTGGTAAAAACGCCGAGAATTTTTTTTCAGTGTAGGACTGCAGTTTGCTTAATGTTATTCAGTTACTTTTGGCCAGGGTCCCGCCAACAAGTCCAAAACAGGTTATTTCGAAAACTCGACCGAGTCCTTGGGGACAATTTTTCTCGAAAGATGCACGCGGTGGAGCAAATTGAAGGATGCTCGAGGCTGTTTAAAATTAATCACGGATCTGCATTCCTTGCGAAACCGAACGGTAATGACCCAAGTGCACTGACCAGCGAATGGCAATATCATAAATTTGCACGTTATTGCATAGACGCTGATTCGTATTGGTTCATGGTATTTACCTTGATCGGGTTTTTTAAGGATGTTTCTCGACCAAATCAAAGCAACGGCTGCNTTTTTTTAACGTAGCATTTAAAATTTACACAAAACGTTTGTATTTTTACTGAGAGATCCTAGCTATTCCTTGATCATACGCGCTTCCTCGTCGCACAATAATTAAAAGCGACGGGCGGAATAAATGACAGATTTTTTCGACAATTAGGGATAGAATTATCCAGCTTGATAGCTTTTTATTGCGATAGTTAGTGCTTTAGTTTTTTAATGCTTAACTCCAGACATCTTCATTGTTCATAAAAACGTTGGCACTAAAATCTGAACTATAAAACTGCGAGCGCACAAAAACCACATTGGCGAATAATTGTTTCACGCGTGCAGTTCATTTTTTTTTAACAATCTTTAACAATCATCCTTGTTGAGGGCGTGACCATCACCAAGCTTTTAATTGACGTACGAAGAATGCGTCTCTCTCCTTACGCACAGTTGGGAGGTCCATATAGGTTTGTCTTCAAGGATTTTTTTTAAAATGACGATAGTCGGGAAGAATCCATCCATGTATTCATAAATAGTGTTTCCTTCATACTTCGTTTCCTGAATTATTTTAAGGGCTCAGCACTTTGTGTTCACAATCTTTGTTCTCTTCTTTTTGGTTTTCTTCCTTTGGTTTTTTCCCCTGTTTTTCATACCACTGTAGAAACACATATGGTTACTTCTTGTAGATAGTGTTTTTTCAACAAAAAAAAAAAAAAAAAAAAAAAAAAAAAAAAAAAAAAAAAATAACTATTCGAGCTACCTGGTATGTTTGTTGGCTATGCAGCGCAATGGAAGGCGAATCTCAAGTATGGACGATATCTGTCAATAAGTTAAGGCGTGGTTTTTTAGTTCACTAATATTTATGGAGCATAATGTTGAGTTTTCGAATACAGTCCTCTACGCACTGTTTATTGCCTAAGTATCAAATCTAAAGGTGAACACATATACTAATGATACAAATACCTTCGTATGGTACGAGATACCTCATTATGGTTCACAGACCGATAATCATTTATTCATTTACAACTATTAGTGATGTTCGTGTGAAAAACTAATTGCTTTACAAAGCCATAGATTTTTCTCCGTGTGCGGGCTGACTGTTGAAATTGATAGACAAAGGGATTTACAAAAAAGACAAACATAAATGAGAGAGATCCTATTGATGGGAACGGACAGTTGCGATGACAAAAAAGGTAAGTAACAGACTAACGAACGGCAACCCACGAGAGACCCTTTGGTTAGTCCATCATTTTCAATCGTATTGAAAACCATAACTTTTTCGAACAATGAGATCGCTCAGTTTCCCCTCCGTCTTCTTTGTATACGGCTTTGTCTATCGAGTTCAACAATCAGCCCGCTGGATATTATAATTTTGATTGGGCCTCGGGCAACCCACGAAAGACCCTTAGGTTAGTCCATAATTTTCTACCTTATAAAAAACAAACTTTTTCAACCAATGAGATCGCTCAAGTTTCCCTCTATTTTCTTTGTCTGCGGCTTTGTCTATCAAGTTCAACTGTTCAACAATCAGCCCGCTGGATATTATAATTTTGATTAGTCCTCGGGCAACCCATGAAAGACCCTTTGGTTAGTCCATAATTTTCTACCTTATTAAAAACCAACTTTTTCAATCAATGAGATCGCTCAATTTTCCCTCCGTCTTCTTTGTCTGCGGGTTTGTCTATCAAGTTAAACAATCAGCCCGCTGGATACGATATTGATTGGGCCTCTGGAAAGGAAGGTTGATGGTGGAAACGCAGAACTGACCTTGTGGCCGCCGTAGAAAGCGATTTCCTCGGCGTTGGTGATGACTCGGGAATGGATGCTCCTGAGGTAGGCCTTCCTATCCGCCTCCTCGGCGACTAGAGCTCCGAACTTGGGAGACAGCACTCTCAGGATTTGCGCCGTGCACGAGATCACTGCTATCGCTAAAACTGGTCCTGCAACACGCCAAAATTATTTTTGATTACATTTTTGCTTATCATGGTTATCTCAACAGATATTCATACTTGATATGAAACCAGAAACAGAACAGAAAGTGTAATCATAAAAATTAATAAAACAGCGGCTCGAGGCCATAACTTTTTCTGTAAACTACCACCAAACATGAAGAAAAAAATTAAAGATGAGCCCCGAAGCCACAATGCCCTGGTCAGGCAATATCTACTTGAGCAATGTCCCTATTCCATCAACGACTTCATAAACGGGACAGGTTGAAATCATTGTCGTTTTTTATATATTTATTCTTGTTTTTTGTTTTGAAAATTTGACGCATTTGTAAAAGCCATGTGCAAGCCAAACAACAAATAAAGCTATATTATTATATCAGTAGTATCTCAATGTTTTCAAAAATTGAGATATTAATAATTTCAAGTAAGACTAGTCAAAATGCATATTCTGTAAAAAAAAATTTGCTCGCAAAATTCCAATTTTCAAGCTTTGGAAAGTCAGTTTGAACTTTCTCTCTGCCATAAGGATCCATGTAATTTCGAAACTTCAAACACGTATCTCTCGAAATAGCAAAAACTGCACTTTTGCGTCTTGTCCTTCAACCTCTCATATAACCTTTATGAACGAACTAATATACCATTATTTCATTCGAAATACGAGAATTTCCTCTAATTTAGCATGACCTAGAATGACTGAGCATAACTTAACATATAACCTACCCCTCTTGCCTCTCTGCGGCGTAGAGAGTACTCGGATTTATCGTAAGGGCGATATAAATGCGTTTATAGGGCTGGTTATGGTTGTGAATGGACCCAAAATCATACGGAGGCTCCACAACTTGGAACAGAAATGTATTAGAAACTGGCGTGCAATAGCATGGTAGACCAAACTTTCAATGTTTAAAAATCGTTGATTTCCAAGAATATTTAAGGCGTTTTTTCGAAGACGCCCACACCCAATCCGATTGAAAAATAAAGAAAACACCAAGAGAGGGATCATTATAAGTTGCGATACCAGGGTTTTCATATAAACCAATCGACAAGTCAACAAAACTAAAAGCTGCCCTGAAAACGTAAATAAGGTGGGAGTATGACGGGGTCTGATGAAGGCATTGCTCTTGTTCATTTGGAGACTTAAACGAAGTGTAAGAAAGAAACACTAAAACGAGGAGTCGCAGAAGTTGAAGAGCAGGACCTATTACCTGCTTTACGAAAAGTTATAAGAACCCCACTCGTTTCATGGATCTAATACAAGTGTGAGTCGTTCGGCAGTTCCTAAGTTCTCCTGCCAAAACATTGTGGCACTTTCTGTAAAACGAACTGCCTTGCTTCCGAAGCTTTGCAGTTCCACCACACTGGAAAGAAAATTCGCTTGGATCTAGAGTCCAGACTTTTAAAAACACTGAAAAGAAAAAATACTCTTCATTCAATCGGACTTTTTGCTTGAATCAAAAAGAAATTCGCCTAAATCAAAAGGCTCGGCTCTTCGATTCAAAGAAAAATCGTATTGAATCAAGAGTATTTTTCTTGTCGATGTCATTAAGGTTTGGACTCTGGATCCAAGCGACTTTTTTTTCACAGTCAGGTAGTTTTATTTGTAATCGGCGTCAGACAGTTTCTATAAAAGTCATTCATAAATTTCAAGCCACTTAAAATTTCGTCTCATAGGCTGCTAATGGGCTAAAATTAGATATAAAGAAAACAATTCGGTCTCTCTAGTGCATGTTCCTGACACTTCCACGACCGAATACTGAAATCTTCCAACATACAAGTACTGCTCATTCGCAGCATTTCAATTTATTTTTGAAACTTTTCTTACATTTTGAAGTTACTTCTTGAATGACCATTTTTTTAACATCGCAAATGTTATACATACAGACTCAAGCTTAGTTTTTAGTTCTCAATTTGGTGATAAACAACAGCCGACTGATCGATGAATCTCACCGGCCTCGGCTGCGCAGTAAGACATTTATTCATCAATTAACAACTCGGTGGAGATCTGCGTTTAAAACCAATGACTCTTGGGTCGAATTTTCGATAGCTATTAAATAGGCAAGATTAAAGTTCCGGTCTCCATAAACACTCGTCATTGTACTAAAAACTTGTAAACGCATTATTCCGGTGATAAACACTTCAAACGAAGATGCCGTAAAAGGCCTGTGCAGCACGAAAAAGAATAGGATATTCAGCTGGTTTTGACGACTATCCTTTTTTTTTTCCGTGAACAGTGACTCTTGCTAATAAGATTTTTGCACTTCATTAATGGGAGTGATTGGGAAGTTTCCTTCTCTTCAGTTAATTTTCAAGTAATAGAGGTGCGTTCCTCCGATGAAAATCTGGAAAACTACCGCGACAATCGAATCTGCTTAAAGTACACTGGAAAAAAAAAACACGTTGGATCTTGAGTTCAGACTCTTGAAAACATTGACAAGAAAAGGGACTCTTGATTCAATCAGATTTAAGCTTAAATCAAAAGGAAATCCGCTCAAATTAAGAAGCTTGGTTCTTGATGATTTACGCTTAAATCTGATTGAATCAAGAGTCCTTTTTCTTGTCAATGTTTTCAAGAGTCTGGACTCTAGATCCAATGTGTTTTTTTTTCCCAGTGTATGTAGATTGCAGAGCCTTCAGCGCACACGAAACCAATTTCAGGTAGATGGCGAAAAACATTCTATAAAACAGATTTGTAAAGTTACTTTAGGTGATATTTTATTCAGGGATGCCACCAAATCTAGAATATGAAATTCCCTGACATTTCCCTGATTTCCCTGACACATTTTGGTGAAATCCCCGGACGACTGAAGATAATTATGCCAGATGGTCAAAAAGACATGATTAGAAATAGTTTTTGGGCCTTTGTGGTTCGAAAAGTTAAAGTCATTCTACCAAACAAAAACAGGTGCTTATCAATTTTTCCCTGAAGGTCTCGATACACGATCAAACTCCCGAACCAACTACCATCAGAGTGGCGGGGGTCATTGGTCTTAAAATCGTTACTCTGCTTAATTTTTAAAATGAAAACTTGGCAGAAATGTTTCGTGCGGCAGGAAATGATGAATGGTGACACTCCGTTCTGATCAGAATTTGACGGCCCGTCCAATTTTGGTCAAATACGACTGCTTCACGGTGATCATCAGTCATCAAGTGGTCTAATTTGATCAGAATTGGTTCGGAATTCGATCGTGTATCGAGACCTTGACATTTTCATCATTTTCTCTGTCATTTCAAGGTTTTCCTGACTTTTTAAAATTCTCTGACATTCCCGGGTTTTCCCGTATTCCCTGAGTGTGGCAACCCTGTTTATTATGGTATGTTGGACTAGTTTGAGGATATAAGTAAGCTAGGCTGCAGAAAAAGGCGATGAAATGATGAATGGTGACACTCCATTCTGATCAAACTTTGATGGCCCGTCCAATTTTGATCAAATAAGACCGTTGCATGGTGGCCATCTGTCATCAACTGGTCTACTTTGATCAAAATTGGTTCGGAATTGATCGTGGATCGAGGGTCTTGACATTTTCATAATTTTCCCTAACATTTCCAGGTCTTCCTGACTTTTTAAAATTCCCAGTTTTCCCGGTATTGCCTGACTGTGGCAACCCTGTTTATTATGGTATGTTGCGGACTGGTTCGAGGATATGTGTAAGCTAGGCTGGAGGAAAAGGCGATGAAAAAAAGTAATTAAAGGAAAGACTGAAACGCTGGCGGTATTACGCAAGCGAAAATGAGTTTTCTCTTTGCACACGGGCGCAACGGTGGGCATCGAGCGGAAACTTAATTACCACATTGCTACACAGCTCGGCAGTTTTCTACAAACAAGAGAATTGGAGACGAGCCAGTCGGAGGAAGTACGAGTAGTTGGTGTGGTGACAAAGCAAATATCGGACATGGATTACGGATAACGAACTGATTGCCAGAGCTGAGCTGGAACAGTGTCGAGCCTACTCTCTGATTTATCCACTTCTTTCCGGCTTCACATTCTTTCTGGGGGATGATTAATTTTACTATCTTCATAGAGCGATGGGATCGTAAAAAAATAAACAAGCCCC